AAAAAAAAAAAAAAAAAAAAAGCGATTCCAAATAGCTCATTCAAAGTCGATGAACATTACTTCTAGCCATTCTTAATATGCATATGTAGGCCTAGATAAGTAATACAATACACATTCAGTAGGGCACGGTCGACTTTGGCTTAAAAAACTACGGTATGACAGCCGACAGAAGACGGGAAATGCAATTTACTACCTCTAAAATCTTACAACTATTACCAATGTATTTTATTTAAAGGCTGGTATACTTATATCATATTGAAATATTCCACTAAAACCGGAGAACTTTCGTCCAAATTGCTCCACATTTTCACTTTCCTCTCGACATTGTTTACATTAGTTACCGAGTTTACAAGAACGTTTGTGATTGGCTAATAGCGTCTCACCAATGCTTAACAGATATCTGCTTTCGTGAACGACATTATTTTTTCGAAAGATAAATTCTCATTTTTGGTTACAGTTTCCCCAAATTTACGATTGCCGACAATTATATTGTTTCAATAAAATAGTATTGACATTTTTGTGCGGATGCCAAGTAGCGCGGATCGGTGGGTCACAGAATTCGTAAACTAAGCCGATTTTGGAGCCTCAACCCACGGTCTACCTTAGATTTAGCTGCATATGATTCCATTAAATCAGCATATAGCCTACGGACGATAGAAAAGCAAAACCCCGAGTATCAAAAACATTTTAGATTTCCTCCCTCGATGAATAATTTACCAACGATCTACGTAGACTTGCAATCTATGCCTTGATTTTAACCTACTGAGCACTGCTCTCAAAGTACACGTGCTCCAGCTAACTTTATTTTCTTTGTTACACGCATGCGTAGTACTTCATTCATGCACCAAGCACTGGTCATGATCTCATCACAGTCGTAAGTTGTTAATTGTTACTAACTTTAAGCGTACATTTCAATCATCACACCCCGCTGTAGGCAATAAATCGAAGGTCCATTAGTGTACAGTATTAATTAAGTACTTAAAATAATTATTGAATATTCTATTAATCTGCCTTTGTGAAAAATTCCCATCTCAATCCCGATCGTAGGCCTATTAATTTGACACTGACATTAAACTACGCTTGATGATTGTTTACAATTTGACTGCGGTGTACCGCGAAGAAAACTTCACACTTCTTCTCCAAACCCTATCTGGATGAAATGAATGCTTACCTTCGAAGATGCCGAAAATTGTTGTAGGCACCGCTGATACTGCTAAACAGGAGATAAACTCTGCATATTTTCTTGGTCTAGGCCTAGTCACTTTTATTTTGATTTTCATTGCGAACGCTTCACACTGCTGTCCTTTCTGATAACATGAGTTAATAAAATGTTTCAAGCCGTCGTCAACTTACGATACCGACGATGCTGCTGGGTAAAATAAATATTAAATATTTAATTAATTTGCTTCTGTGGCAAGGCCCATCTCGATCCCGATCGTATAAATTTGACACTGACATTAAACTACACTTGGTGATTGTTTACAATTATACTTTGCGGTGTACCGCGAAGAAAACTTGTCACACTTCCATACTCCAAAAACCTATCTGCAGAAAATGCTTATCTCTAAATATGCCGAAAGTTTTTGGCTTCATTCTTGGGTCTTAATCCAATGTTGTTTCTCCCAACTACTTTTGTAGAATATATGATACTTTAACTTCACCTGGATTTGCTTTATTTAAATAGTCACTGTGTTTCTCTTTTTTCAATGTTCATATAAGAAATAATCAATAAGTTATTAAAGTACAGTACATTTATACATACGATTTGTTCAGACTTTTTCTTTCGTGTATTTAATTGAATAATGTCATAAAATAATTCAAAATAGGGGGTGGGCAAGTAAAAAATTGTGAGGGCAACCAAATTTGAGATATTGGTTGCCCGAAGGGCAACCTAATATTTCATAATTCTGCGAGCACTGAGACGGTGCGCTATTGTAACTTGTATTTCAGCCCTCTAGCTGAATCACAAGGAGAGGCAGCGATGGGAATTGAACCGGGGACCTAGAGATCTCCACGGTTCAGCGCACATGCATCATCTACCCCCAGATTAGCCGACTGAGCTAAGGTGCTCTCTCAACATAAAAACATAAAAAGGCTTTGTCGTGGAGATTAAAATGTCCTGTTAAAATGCGTTGTACTTCCCGAACACAGAAGTGAAATGTAAGCACACCCTTCTCGTCCGGAGCAGCAGGAACCACATTTGCTGGAGGACTGAACCCCAAGTTTGCCGAATTTCATCATGTGCCCCTCCCCATTTCACAAAAATTTGGAACTGCCCCTGTTGGTAATATTGACAAGATGAATAAACTTAGATTGGGTCCATGAAGAATTGTAGCATGTCCGGAGGGGTCCCGTATGCATAAATATTGGGAACCACTCTCTAGGAGGTCTGTTATTTGACCCAAGGTTTTCAGGATTTTAGAGCCAGTTTGTCTTGGACAACATAGCTTCTTTTATTTTGACTTCATACATTTTGATACCCATCTTCCTAAACATTAAAATGTAAAATAGAGTTACAGGTAACTGAATTTTAATTTGTAATATTATGTACATTTTTTTTTTTAATCCTTGATTATATTCAATATCTTTTCCAGTTTTTCCTGATATACCTTATAATAGGGCTACTTCCTTTCATTGGTGTACCTAAGGGTAAGTAGTGCAAAATCTGTGTATAATCTGTGAGAATACCATTTTTTTCCTAAACGTTTCAATTGTGTACTTTTTAAAGTTATTATTTTCACAACCTTTTAATCAAATTAGTTCTATCTTTATAATTCTTAGCCTTGGTGGATTAATGCTATTTTTTCCATGCTTTAAAAAAAATGTGTACCCTGCCTATTATAGATGAATATAGCATTAAAAAGTATTTTAAGATTTGTTTCACTGCATTTTCATTAATTTAAAGTCAAATAACTAATTTGTTAAAAGACAAATCTCACCTACACTCTAATTAATATGTTATATTACATGCTTAAAATAATTATGATCCATCCTAACCACACTTTCGATGAGCAATGCAATTTAGAGAAAAATTGGTAGTAAATGCATGCGGTAAGTACTTCCGGTTCATATACAATAACTTTGATATGACGTCAGCTTGGAATCATCTTGCTTCGTCGTTGTGTCGCGCGAAACATGTAGCCATTGAAGTGCTAACCAGTTTTAAAACCTTACTGTTATTACTGTAATTGATCATTTTCGCGTTAGGTCCCAGTACTCAGCTAGTAGTAGGTATATTCTTTAAATAATTTACATTGCCGTATTGTGCTGTTTTTGGTTGAAACAATACCACTAATATAGGAAGGAATGTCTTGGAAAAAGTAGGTTCATCAGCAAAATTGTGTGGGTTTTATTATTTTTGGCATTAGATTATGGCAAAAACATTTTTAAAAATCGTAAGATATCCATCAAAACTGGCAGAACTGGGTTATCCAGGGGCTATCCGGGGACTACAGGATTGGAGTCCCTCGAAAATATACTTTTGAGGATCTAGATAAACCAGGCCAGAAAACAAAAATACCCCGATACGATTTACGAGGAGCTAACTGAAGAAGGACCCCAAACAAAAGCCTCGACGGCTAGCTAGACCTCAGCACAGCACAGACAGGCTCATTATATTTCAATTTGGTGGTTTATGCATGTAGGCCTAATAATATAAATGTTTTCAAATTTACCTCACGATTGGATGTTGGTTTGCCTCCGATTAACAGTGCAAGAAATCAATGTAAAATACTTTTTAACAGCTAGGCTAGGGCTTTAGCTAGGCTGTAAAAAATAACAATGCTTCAAATTTATATTTTGAAAAACATTTGAGTCATAAATTTAATAAAACAGATTATTTTTCATATTTTTATTTTATTGTTTTGGCTATTCAATTCCATATTTGAATTACTGTATTTGTAATTAAGATATTAAAAATCTGAATATGCAGGTTTTTTTATATTGTTTTTTTTTCTACTGTAATTGATATATTGCAACTACTGCATGAATATGAATATCCTCATAAAAAGAGGCTATTACTTTGTACAAGATATTCCATAATCAAGCACCACCATACTTAAAGACATTATTTACCCCCAAGGAAGGAAAATACCATAACAGTCCACCAGATTAGCCGCTCTAAGCTGCTCTCTAACAGCTAGCTAGGCTAATCCTCAGTTGACAAGGAAAACATACACTAACACATCACTTACACTTACGTTTCCAACATGGTTATTGTCATCATGAACTTTGGCCTCTGTTGGCATTTCGATGTTTCTGGTTCATACAATATTATGGCTGTACCGGTGGCTGTACCAAGGATTGCGACTTCCATCCTACCGATGCAAAAACAACAACCTCGTGTGTTGTGTTTTCACAGTTGATTCCATCGTGACGTCAAAGGTCAAAGATAATGAGGTGTGACCTTATGTGCGAAATTTGAGAGTTATACGATATATCAAGACTACAAAAATTAGTTGTTCATATTATTTTAATTTGTTGATTGTATTTATTAGTGTAGGTGAGACTTGTCTTTTAAGTGTTCCATTGCAAAGAACCTTACCTTGTAAAGATAGACAGACATTGAGGGGTTTTTGTCAAAGGCACTTGCCTGCTGGAGGGCAAATTGTTAAAAAAAAATTGGTGGTTGTAAAATGTTTGTACCATCAAATGACCTGATAAAGTTTAGATCAATCCAATATAGAGAAGTAGAACTGTCTAAAAACGTTATGAAGGTTATCTACCCAATCAATGCTACCTTATGGCCTTGTCACACAATGACGATTTAGCCAGCGTATGCCGACAGGGCCATTACAGCACCATTACTTTTAAACAGTGTAAACGTTATAAAGATTTATCGTAAATGTAATTTAAATTTTCAACTTCCCCCCCCCCAACACCATATATTATAAAAAAATATATATATATTTATAATATTGTTTTGTTTGTGTCATTATAGTACAACAAATCATTGATCATGTGGCCAAAGAAGATGATGATAGAGTGGTAATACCTTGTGACTATTCAAATGTTACTTCTTACCCTGTTTCCGTTCTTTTCAATGAAGTAAATGAAGCAGGAGTAATTATTAAAGCTGGTTTTGTAAACACTGTGAAGCCTGTCACTAGACGTTACAGCTTAATAACATATCCTGATTTTGCCGAATTGATTATTTCAAATCCAGAAAGGAATGATACTAATAGGAGATTTCAGTGTCAGATACAGACACAAAATGGAGATTACATAATTTTGGACATTTTATACATCCTCACCGTATACTGTAAGTATGACTGGCTGCATCTCTAAATTATTTATTTTTTGTAGATAGATAGATAGAAATCTTTCTTTATTCTGGATACTTAGTCAGTATTGTTACACTGTTCTTCCCTGAGGTCAGGGGTATTATCTTAAACTACATTAAATTACAAAACAAAATGAAAATGTAAACTGCTCTAGACACAATACAGAAGAATTTTACTTAAGATTGAGCTTAGCGGGGTTTGAGTTAGGGGTGACGGCACTAGACTTGTAATAACAAGAACACACAGATAACTAGCTTTAAAGTGAAGTATATTCATGAAATCTAGTTACCAACATATCTGTTCAATGAATGTTACCTAATTTAAGATAACATATAAAAGTGTTTAAATTATTACTATTCAGCTTAAAGCTTATTCTTGAGCCAATACAAATTCTTTCCTGGGATCACTCAAAATGAATACTTCTAAACATGTAAATATGCATCAGTACACATTATACATAGGCCTAAGGGGCTGAGGTGGGTGGTTCCTCGGTCTGTGAAAGTCCCTCCCTGGTTCACCTCTCTTTCGAATTCCTGGATCTGCAACTGTTGATTTATTATATAATTATTTTTGCGCTTATATAATGCGTCTATTGCAATTTTCACTTTATCCTCTCAAGCAGTCCTAAGAACGTTCAGAGTGCGCTACTTCACAGGGGGATTCGCCCCCTTGACCCCGCCGGGGTCATACGTAATTCGCATAACGGCTCCCCCCCTTTCAAAATCCTGGCTACGTCCTTGTTACTATTAGTAAATTATAAAATATATATAAGTATAAACTTATGGTTTGGTGACAACAGCAGCGGTCGTGTTTGATCCTGTCAAAGCGTTTGTTTGGTCGGTATCGGATGAATGCTGACAAAGTTGCTTCTTAGTTTGTCATTCCCAGGCTCTACTGTAATAGCGGACTCCAATCCTCCAGTCTCCGACTTAGGCAATCTTCCCCAAACAGAATTTGTTGAGCAATGAACAAAGTTTAAGACAACTTGGTTTTGACTGTAGCAGGATAGGGCCTGACTGCTCTCTTTAAAGTTTCAGAGTTAAGTTGTAATATATGTAAAGCCTTTTTTTATTTTAATTGCTACACAACCATTATTTAATAACTATTTACAGCCTTTACAGTATTAAACTAAATCAAAATAACAGTACCTTGGTCATTATTAATATAAGTTAGGAATTATGATCTTATAATGTAGACGGTACATTAGGCACATATTAATGATTAATTAATGATCAACAGTTGTAGCCCATGGTTAACGATCATAAATGGGCAATTCATTACCTAACATAATAGAATAAAACTATTCAGATGTTAACAGCATTATCATGATTGGATTTGCAGGTTGTAATAATAATAAGTAACAAAAATATAAAGTAATGAAAACATATGATAGTTCTTAATAGTTGTCTGTACATAACCGGAAAACATTGGCTATAAATTAAAGTAAAGCATCTTAACTACAGAAAATACTGAGTATATTTGACAAAAATTAGATTGGTCATCTTACCTGAATTCGTTGAGCAATGAACAAAGTTTAAGACAACTTGACGCAGGGTTCCTAGAACGCCGCCGTCAGCGGCGAGTGCGAAGCACAGCTCAGGGTCAAAAGTGGAACGTGAAATTTCGATGTGGTTTCGTTGTCAGATTTGCGAGAAAAACTTCAGCTACCCGTACTTCTCGACTGAGACGTCAGTGGGAACTGTAATTTGTATGGCAAGGAGATTGTGCAACCCTTAATTCATATTAAGAGAATTTACGCCCAGAAACCTTGTAGTATAATATTTTGGTTATAATAGAAAATATTCATTTTTTGGTGACGTCACACTCACAATATAATTAGCATGCATACGTCATAAGCTAGATTACATCACCTTTTCCTGGTAAGGCTAACTTTCCCGGCGTGCTTTTTTCATGGATAAACAAACACCACTGCTTTGCACATAGATGCTTTGCCCTAGCTAGGGCTACAAGAGCCGCATTGTTAGCATTGTATAATACTTGAACAAGGTACCACTGCAGCTGAATTATTCTTAGTTATTTGTTTTTTTGTTTTTTTCTTATTTTAATATATTTCTTTCAAAAGTGTACTTTCTATCACATATTATTGCACTGTCTAGTTAGGCCTAGGCCTATAGTCTTATTATTATGCCTCATCGTCCCTCCCCCCTTCCCATACAGTACAGACGTTTGCTAGGCAACAACGTGATTGCACCTTTCTTCCCAGGTGTTGTTGTAACATTGGCATATTGTTAGCTAACCAGTTGTGTGTATTTCTTTGTGAAAATGAGTACCGCGGTGTACTCATTTTCACAAAGCATTTGCATCCCCTCTTGGAAAGAGGGAACTTCGAAATAATTGTCTCCATATCTTCGCTAATTAAATTAATCACCATAATTTAGCTTACACTTATGAATTTAGGGAGCACTTAAAATGTACAATAATCATTTCACTACCCGACAAACTCCGAGCTTTATTTATGCATTTTAGGTCGACATAATAGTTCCATCTTCCTGTACTATATACTTAAACATCACTGGCGCATGGTAACAACCAACTGACTGCAGACCATTTCCGGTCACACATTACTCTCCATAACACAGCACCCCTTTGTTCCGTCACCTCTGGGTTTTGACTGTAGCAGGATAGGGCCTGACTGCTGTCCTTAAATTTGCAGAGTTAAGTTGTAATTATGTGAAACTCAGCAGCCCTATTTATAAGGATCGGTCCCCTCCTAGTTCTGGCTGAACATTCCTAAGACCCTTTGTCGAGTCACATTACAGGGCCTAATTATCCCTTTCCCAAGAACAAGTGGTTGACCATTTGCCTTATATGTGTGTATACTAGCCAAATTCCTTTAGTGGTAATTGGGTATGTTGAGTAATAATAATTAATTATGCTTACAATCGGCAAGTTTCTTTGTTTCTGAATACAGGAGGATAGGATAAGTATTTTAATTACTTTCCCCTCTGTACTACTCTGTACATGGGTTACAAAAAGAAAAATGCATAAAAATAAATATATAAATATAAATATACAGATTCGTTAAATTTAATTTAATATGCTAAATACATATTTACGCATAATATTTATATAAATATATAATAAGTATATCATTTTGAGTATTATTTACATATTTTAACTGGACTCTAGTACTATAAGCCTGTGTATACATTGTGTCTTTATTTAACATAATTAAATCTCATTGCTTTATTCAAATATCAAATATTATTAAACTTTAACGATTACATTATTTCATATAATATATTTTTCAAATAAATATCTAAACAATTTTCATTAATGAAATGTAAACTCTAAAAGTAAATTTACGTAGCTAAAATAAATAAAAATGAACATAGTAGTAATCCATTTATTCATAATAACAAAAATAACTGTTTCAATATTCTAATCAATTTTATATAGCCGGAGCATGGACCTATAATAGGTCCATGGCCGGAGTTAGTTTCAAACTTAGGCAAACCTTGAAAAAAGGTACACTTTCTCCATCGAAAGGCTTTTGCTATGAATGGAAGCACAAATTCCTGTAGACAAACCCAGTACCGTCACGATTTTTAATCGTGCAGAAAATTTTGATTTTTTTTTTTTTTTTTTCTTTATATAGAGGCCTGAAGAATGAGATAAAATT